CCATGTGTTTTTAATGATGGTTTTAATGGCTCTGGTCCTCTGTGGAGGACATGGCTGTGCTCTTGTCTATAAACATATTCTGGTTTGCTTCCGTGGGCCCTTTGTGTCCAACTTGCTGGCTGAGCAGGTCAAGTGTGCTGTTGCCGCTCTTCTCACTGACACATTTAATGTGTGGTTTCTCCCAACATGATACTCATGTTTCTCACCCCTGTTCTGAGCCAACCCACGGGGCTGGGGTGGCGCTGGAGCTCTGCCTTTTCAATCCTTTGCCTTGCTCTGCCAAAGATGCCAGTTGTGGTATTATCAATACTTCTGTATGAGGAGCCCAGCTGCACACCTCATTTTCCATGGACCACTGGAGAGTTAGTAGCCAGCGCGGTGTTTGATCGCTACACATCCTGGATGGATTTCACCCGGTGACCGGGAGGCAATCCCCTAGGCCACTGAGCCTGTGACATTTGAAGATTGGCTGCTCAGGGTCATTGCATCAATTGTGTTGCCTTTAATTTTGTTCTTTTTTCATGAGCTTTTCTCATTCAGCTGTACAGGTAGAAGAGCCCAAACCCAGCTCAGTGTGACACTGCAATGACAAATGCCTGTCACAGTTTGTGTGCTTCATAGACACTGATGCTATCTCTGTTATGTGTTTTGTGTGTTTCAGGAAAAAAGTGCCAGTTCAAATGTAAGACTTAAATCTAATAAAGAGATCCCGGGATTAGTACATCAACCCAGAGCAAAGTAAGTTCTATTTTTTTTTTTAAATCATTATACTGCTTAGTCCTGTATTAATTTGTATCTGTGAGATTCCAAATTATTCTCTATTCCACATTTTTCACAGAGAGGGTGGTGAGGCACTGGGACAGGTTGCCCAGAGAAGCTGTGGATGCCCCATCCCTGGAAGTGTTCAAGGCCAGGCTGGATGAGGCTTGGAGCAACCTGGTCTAGTGGAAGGTGTCCCTGCCCATGGCAGGGGGGTTGGAACTAGATGGTCTCTAAGGCCCCAACCCAAACCATTCTAGGATTCTATTGCCTGGTGAAAACTAATCGGTGATTCCAGAAGCCCTAAAACCATGCGCAATTTCAATAAAATAGGTAGGGTTGCCTATATCCTGATACAAATTAGACAGCCAGGTAGTGCTTGTGCCGGCACCCTGCAGCATCCTCTCCTTTGCACAGCTGAGATGCAGGACTTAAAAATGTGTGAGATGCATCTTGCTTTGCCATATAGACATACCATACTGTGTTATTTCTCAGCTTTCCATACAAGTTACAATTAAACACGATTATATATGCCCTAGTGTTCCTAAATACTATCAGTTACGTTCCCAGGGAAGTATTTGCTAGTTCTTGGTTAGCAGCTATACTGCCTGACATTAGGAATGGTAAACTTCTTTCATTTAAAACAATCAAATTGTTTCTTAAAACGAGGGTTATTTTTTAGCTGAGAGTTTTTCCATGCTTCACTCACAGTTCTGTGCTGTACCCTGGCTGAGATCAGTGTTACATGTGCCATGAAATTAACTCCTGTGACAGAGCTGGTTATTGATATTAGTAACTCGTTTCTTATCTAAATCACCGTTGCATTTTAGTCACTAATTGGATTGCAGATAACAGATTACATGGAGCTGTATATCGGGTTCGTAACAAAGAAGTGATAAACCTTTACTCTTGGATTTTGAACAATAGCAGTAATGCTGTTCTTTATGCCCTGACTTCGGGGCTTTTACTAACTTAAACTTGCTGCATACCAAGTGTGTTGTTCACAGTTTCAAGTCTGTAAACTTCAGTAATTTCCTAATCAGCTGACATTATAATTCAGCCTCCTTTCAAATGGAAAATTTGAGTGCTTCAGATGTAATTGCAAAGAAGTTCACGGTAGGGAGGTGGATGTTAAATCACCCTTCAGCAAAGCTGTACTTCATTACTGTGGTTTGGTCTGTCCCAGCAGGGTCAGAGTTGCATTTAAGATGTTCTAACAGGAGACTACTCAGCCTGAGCCAAAAAAAGGGACGTTTCATGTGACCAGTCGTATCTCCTGGGGCATCCAAAGCAGAGGGGCTGCATGGAGCTGGGGATCTGTTCTTTCAGCAAACTCTGATTTTAAAAGTCCCCGCAGAAATCAGAATTGACCTTCATTTACCAAAAAGCCTAAAGAAGGCGTGTTGGCAGATGTTAATGTTTCTGTCGCAGTCCTGCGACAAGTCTGCGATGACAAGTCTCAGAGAGTTACAGAATGTAACATTAGGTTGTTGGGTAAAACCTCAGCTGTTTACCCAATGTACTGTTGGATTTCTGTTTATAAAGTGGCTGAAAGTGTTTGAGCTGCTAATCACCAAGTCAGCAGATATCTGCCACCATGCGCTGTTTTGTTTTAAGGTTTATCGCCTGAAACCCAGGACAGTTCCGACTGCAGTGGGGGTTGGCGTTGGGTGGAAAAGGGCTTCGTAGCTAAAAGAGCAGAAGTGACTGAATCTTACAGGACCGTTCTCGTGGAACATGTGTTACTTCGAAACAAAACATGGACTATGTACCAAATTACAATTTCATATGCAGTGGAGGGAGTCTTAAAACATTGGCTGTAAAAGTAAGGTTGTGAGGGCTCTTCCCATTTGTAGGAGGATTCAGAATTTGACATCTAGAGCCCTGGACTCTAAAACCAGTGTAGATTTTTGGGGGTCTTTGACAGAGGTCGAGGGGTTGGTCCTTCCTCCTTGCACCAGGTGCTGGTACCTTGCGTACCTTCATGGGGCTTCATCCCTGCACCCTACCCTGAGCTCACGGGCACTTCCTCAGTTTGTTCATCTTCAAAACTGACTCTGCTGGCATCTTTAACCAGAAAAGTGATCACACGTGCCCTATTAAGTACACTGAGACATGGTCACAACTCAAGAAGTAACTCAGCCTGAAGCATAAAATGAAAGTAGATCATGAAATCATAAAATGGTTTGGGTTGGAAGGGACCTTTAAATTTTATCTATTTAGAGTTACAATCTAGAGTTTCACCTCTAAATCACAGGGCAGTGATACTGTTCAGCCAAACTTTTCTGAAGATCATGGCGTGCAAGGGCTTTAAGACCTCCTGTGGGACTTTTCACGTACATGGCAACACAATACTCCTTACCCCTGCCCCCTTCCTTTTCTGAACTGAGCCTTCATATATGTCCATCATAAGCAAATCACTGTGTATGTTCATCCCGACAGCAAGTGAAGTATGAATGCTGAGCTTTGTAGGAAAGCACAGCATGTTGTTGGGCACTTGGGAAAAGTCTTCACTCATTACAGCTGAAAGGATCATGCCGAGGAAGAGGAGTCTGGGGTGGGAATTCAACAAGCTGAACCAGCTTTAACGTCAGAGAAAATCTCCAAGGGCTGTGTGTCCTTCTAACCATTTGGCATCCGGGTTAACACTGGCACCAGTCCCCTCATCCTTCCTTTTTGCATCTTTTTCAGTCCCGCATTGAGTCCCTGGCACCTTTTTTCCAGGCTCGCCATGGGCCCAGACGCTCCTCCCTGCTGTCATTCCAGAGGATGCTCCAGCTTCACCTTCCCAGTGGGATATTGTTATTTCAGGAAAGAGGCTCTCACCACCCCCTAACACAAATAAAACAGGCACACCTCAAATACTGTCTGCCATGCATCCTCATTGTTGTCTCCTCATCCTTCCCTTCACATCCGATCTTCCTGTATTTTTAGCTTGCAGGTCTCCCCTGGGGAAGGGCCTGTTGTTCTGTGCCACCATCAGCATTCTACAGACAGCAAATAAGAGTATTTTCCAGCCCTCTTCACTAATGCAAAATCATACCACTAACCCTGAGCCTCTTGGTGCTGCAGAACTAATTGAAGTGAACAATCTGCTGGGCCTGCTCAGGGAGCAGTACGGACCATCTCTGGGAGGGAAGGAGCAGCCTGGGCTTGTTGACGTTCCTGGGTGTTGAGCGCAGAGCCCAGGCGTAGCAAGGCAGGCAAACATTCCCGTGTGGGGCTTTAACCTCACACCGTAGGCGTCTCATTTTGTGGTGCTGAGCTTGGCAGTCTTGGAAGTCCTTCTGTCTCGATGCAGAGGGGACTCTCACTAGCCCAGGGAAACGTAGTGGTCCATTAAGTTTCTGCAACCTGCCTGGAAGAGGGAATAGTGTCCTCTGGATGTGCATGGGTCCTAGTTACCATCCCAAGTGTCCACACGTGTGCACACAGCTAAATGCAATAATTTTTCTGTGGGCAAACCAAAAAATGGGGGGGGGGCAAAAATAAATTGTCATTTTAGACAAGTGTCAAGTGGTTTATTTCTCACAGTGGTGAAAGCTTACAGCTGAGTCCTTCAACAACCCTGGACTGCAGCGTCAGTATTTGAAAGTGGACGAAATCTTCTCGGTACTGATACTCTTCCTTTGCTTTTCAGCATGCACATCTCTGAAAGCCAACAAGAATTCTTCAGAATGCTTGATGAAAAGATTGAAAAGGTAAGACACAACAAAGTAAACGTACATTTTCCCTCAGGGGATGGACATGCAGGTTTCCCGACTCCATGGGGAGGATAAGACCCTCTTGCAGTGCTTCATGTTTACTTGGGGAGACTTTGGTCCACGATCCCCCTTACCACTCCTTGGTTTAGATAGTTAAAGTGCAAAGAAGACCAAAAAGGTAGAAAGGTTACAGGAGATACTGGAAGGAAACCTCTGTTTTGTGGCTTGCCACGAGGGTAGCATGAATAGCGAATTAACGCAAACATTCAGGGTGTATGTGGATTACTGGATAAAGGAGAAGAGCAAAGTGAGGGTTTATGCCCTTAGTGACTTGATTTTTTCATTTAATCTCTGTGGGAAACAACTGGAATCTTAATGCCGGTAGTATCTGGGATACCCAGCTTATTTCTTGCTGAAATTCTTCAAAATAGCTCCCAGCTCCAAGGACTGTGAATAGTGTGGCTGTATGTGTGGATAACCATGCCTCAAGGCAAGAGTGAAATAATGGTGCTGGAAACGTTTCGGAGAAGAGGGCGAGTGGTTCTGTACATATCTCATTGTCTTCACAGCAGCTTTTGTGTGTTTCACAAGTCTTTTAAATGAGAATCCCAGCTTCTTGTGTGAGATAGTAGTGAATAATAGTACCACAGCATAGATGGGAAACTGAGACTTGATGAATTAAATGGGCTATTAGGATTAGGTCTGGATCTCAGCCTTTGCTTATATCTTGAGCTGATGTTCTCTCACCAATATGCTCTTCACGCTGCATATTTTGGAGTGATATATCTTACTTAATACTTGATATTAAATATTTGCTTCCCCAATTGGACTAACAGAATTTGTACTCCCAGATTTCAGTGTTATGTTGCAGGGAAATATTTACTTGGATGACTCTGAATTTCTGCCATTTTTCCCAACACTCCTGGTCTTAGCAGTTGGACTGCTACAATGGGTGAATCTCTATTTGTCCCAAGCTAAACAATTGTTACACTACGCTAAAAAAAATTAACGAAAACAAAAAGTTAGGTAAAGGAGAGGAGTTTGTGCACTCCTGAGAAGGGTGTTTCTATACCAGTATTTCACAGAAGTAAGATTTTACTTAACCTATATGCATTTAGAAGTAGAATCTCTGCATATCCATAATGTAGCTACGTCTCCTTCGAATAAGTGCATTCACCCTATAAATATTTAGATGCTTTTCCTGGACATCATCACTTTCCATAATGCCAAGCACAGAACCTCCAGTGAAATGGATTTTCCAAACATCTCTCTTGTCTACATACCAGACTAGTTATGAATTGAGGTTAGTTTTGTCTTCGGGATGTGGTTCAGAACAGTAATACCATTCGTTCACCAGCTGCCCCTTGGAGATGCAGTAGGCCGTGTCTCCGTGGTCTTCGGGCCATGCTCTCAAGTGCTTGCAGGTATTCTCTGGGGCTCCTGTACTAATTCATCTTCTAGGTCAGGGGATTGCCTCTTTAGAGGAAATACACATTTTTTTCTGTCAAAGAAAGGCAGCTCCCATACATTTCAAGCTGCTGACAGTTGATGGGGTTGCAGGAGCTAATGCACAGCTGAACCTGGGATTTGCTTTCTCTGGGGACCTCTTGTGCCTGAGGAAATGGTCTTCCTAAGAGAAGTTTTGGGGGTTTTAATTAATCTTTGCCCACAACACAGCGTTTTTCTAGGTAGCCGCCACAAGTGCCAAAAAGATTGGAAAATAGGAGGAGCTTTGTTTGATCCCTAAATAGCATTTTGAGTCCCTTCTGCAGGGAAATGGAGGACAGCAGTTTAACAGTGAAAAGAATTGTGTCACTGAGCAGCTCACCAGTTATGGCCGAAGGAGTCTGCAGAAGTGGAGGGGAATTGCCTGTGGTTGGTGAGGTCCCAAAACACACTGTGATGTTCACGTGGTAACCGTGGCCGGAAGTAGCGTTGGATTTGTAGCAGAGACATGCTGTCTGTCACTGACTCCACGGGCTATGGCTACAGAGACTCTGCACTCGGAAGCAAAACACCCCTCACCTTGTATTGAAATCCCAAGGGGTGTTAAGTCACCTAATACAGCTCTTAACGTGTGTGCTACAAATTAGTGAGGAAAAGTAAATGGGTGTTTGGGACTCAGCGAAATGATTCAGGAAGGTGAGCTGAAATAAAATTTCAGCAACCAAAGTGTGAAATGGAAAGAACACAGCCTGATGTTTCAGCAACTGAAAATACAAAGTATTTATGAATCCCGGAGATCAAAAAAAGGCTTTAATGAAATAGACTGGAGAATTTCTCTGACAGTCTGGCCCCCGTCAGTACTCAGTACGTGCCCGTGTTCCCTCGCCTTCTGCAAATGCCACCCAAAGGTAAAAACTAGAATGTCAACCCCAACACATGGAGCTTCTGTCTACCAAAAACTGGGTGTCAAAACACTGTGAGGAATTCAGAGGGAGACATCTGTTCCTATCTCTGCAGGAGTGGCTCTCCCTGCTCGGGAGAGCTGGAGCTAAACTTGCACGTATGAAACTGCTTGTAATTATGGTAATTCAATCCTTAGGGTTTGTTGGAAGGAAGAAATGCTGAAACGAAGGCTTGGCACTGAATGCTGAGATGGGACTGAGGTTTAACCTCTTGGGGTTTCACACTCCCTGAAGTTACTGTGCGGAGAGTCACGGGCTTTGCTTTGGGAGACAAAAGGGCACCTGCATGCAGAGGTCAGGGGGAAATCGGAGCAGAGGCAAGGGGACAGCTCACCTGGTGACAGCATTGTCACTGGGTTTTGAAAATTGGGCTTGCCTGAAATCATATCAGTGTATTCCAGCAGAGGATGAGCAACAGGTAATTAAGCTCAAGCAGTAATTAAGCTCCAGGAAAGAGCCCCCCTGGCGTAAATTAGAAAGACATTGGAACAGAGGTGTGAGTGATTTGCTTGACCTGAGAAATGAAGGCAGAACTATGACTTTGGAAACCCGAGAAGGAAGCAGAGAGTGACAACACATCCCTCCTATCCAGCCTCTGGATAAACCTGAGATCTGCAGCGTGATGCCCAGAGGAGGAGAAATGTGCCCCACCAGCCGCAGCTGGGACGGGGAAGGTCGCTGCACTCATCACGGTGTGATAAATCTGGGTTTGAAATACCCTCTGCGATTAAGATAGAAATGCGTCCCACTAACAGCATTCCTGTCTGCATGACACCTGGTGTTTTCTGCTGGCTGCAGGGAGAAATGGTAGCAAAATTAGGCTATTTGTACTGGTGTTGGGGCAAATAAATTAGTTACCTGGCTTCTTCTAGTCTCACAGTGGAAGGACTAATTTAGTCAGTGTATATGGAGTCACAAAGAGTCACCAGGAAACACAGACAACTTACTACCTGCAGATTCTGTAGCCTTCAGGGTTTTTTTCTTCCTACATCTCAGCTTTATTTGGACCCTGACTGCGCAGGACCGTGCACAAACTCCACCTTACCTCCTAATAAGAAATTCCATTGTTTGAACAGGATGGCTCAGAGCGGAGAGTTGATCCTGGGAGCAGGCTCCAGTCAGTAGACTTGAGGGGGGCCCTGTCCCACGCAGACTTGCATGAAATACGAAAGAAAAGCAAAACTAAAAGCTGTGATGTGTAAGATGTTGAATACTTCGCCCATTTAGCGCCTGCTAGCGAAAACATCTTGATGATGGCAGTCACAGAAAATGGTCTGAAAAATGACTGCTTTCTCTCAATCCTATGTACAGAGCAGTAAAATGATCATCAGAAATTATCTCCTTTAGGTATATATTATTACTGTAGGCTGTGGCACAGTGTGTAGGCAGCTATCTCACTGTAGGAAAAACTACCAGTGCTGAGGTATAATTGAACACTTGACAAGCAGTTTCTAGGATTATAGCTGGGGATTGTACCCCCAGAAGAGAAGCATCTCTGGCTTTGTTGTTTAAAAAAAAAACCAAAACCAAACCCAAAGCCATCCAGGTAAACTGTGCCAGAGGAAATGGTCACCGGGCCCGTCATCAGAACCTGTTTCCTACATGGCTGCAGTGTTTTTTTGAAAATAATCAAGATGCACACACACTCATGGAAAAAAAGGAGATTAAATAAGTGTCATAGCACACGAAGATGTCTTGCTATGAACGCTCACGCGTCCGGTTGATATCCAAAGACTGGAGCATCGTGTTCCCGCTGCCACAGGGGATGTCACTTTGGGTCGAGGGCTGGCATGGTCCTGGCAGGGGTTTCTCCACCCGTCTGCACACCTGGCTGCCAGAGCCAGGTTGAAGACTACCGGTTTGTTGTTGGAGATCGTGGGAGAGATGCCCCGTGGCAACTTGCTCCATCCCCTCGTTAGTGAAACTGGGCACAAAACACGGGGGTGAGACACAATGCAGCCTCTTGTATCGTATTTAAAGAGTGCTGTTAGAAATAGGGGGAGTTGCTAATGAAAACGTATGCAAGTGCAGAATTATTAGGGTAAAACTCATTAGCAAAGTGGATTGCTGTTAATGACTCTATTGATTTTTCTCCACCAAAATAAGAAACGGACAAAAATCAGCACAGTACACAATTATTTAGTGCTGCCTCCCAGCATTTTCTTCCCATCCTTTCTGCGAGAGCTGTAAACAAAACCAGATTGATGAAAAGGGTTCCCACCGCAGAGCCAGGCTAGCGTTTCCCAGCGCCGAGCAGCCCCTCTGAAAGGGGCCACTGTGTCCTGCAGGCTCTTTCAGCCATCGCAGAAGAAAGGGCTGCTTGGTGCAGCTCATTTCCCTCTCCCGGGCCGGACGGCCTCCTCTTCCTCCTCTCTTCGCCAGGGTCGCGGCACGAGGATGCTGGTGCCAAGCTGCAGAGCCGTGGCGAAAGAAGCATCTCCTTAGCTGCCTCCTCTCGGCGGCAAGGCCGCCAGCCCCACAAAAGCCTATTGAACCGGGAGGGCTTCTGCATCTGGGTGGCGTGGGGCTTTGTTTATTGGCCCGTCACCCGCAACAATGGGGAAAAGACCTCTTCCTGTGATTTTTTTTTTTCCTCTAAAGGGATATCATCAGCCATGACACATGCTGTGGTAGGGGCATCAGGATGGGAACACTTCTAGATGCAGTGAGGGGAGAGAGCAGGGGAATGAGCCCTTCTGGTTTGGGTACAAACAGCAGGAAAGGAGTGTAGGCACTTACTTTTTTTTAATGACCTTAAATTCACACACTTGTGTTAAGGCTTTTCTGTGGACATCTTTGAAAGTTGAATTTTGAAACTGCAGGAGAAGGAAGACAGGATTTCTCAGGAATTACCTGGACTTGGATGCATGTGTTCCCATTCTCATCTTCCTCAATGTAGCTCATTTACACTCTCAGCCACTAAAACATATTTTATAGCCCGTGCTATGAAGGGCTGTTAAAGGAAGACCCATATATTCCTGTTGTTAGCCATCTGCTCTGTGCCTGTGGCTCCCACGGACGTGGGAGCCTGCTCCCCTGGGACAGGTTTTGGCCAGCAATCCTGCACCTTCATTTTCCAGCCACGATGCTGCTCTATTTGGAGGGGTTGGCACTTTCTCCGATTTCTTCTTTTCCTTCCCGACACGCACCTGCTCCCAAAATAAACCCCACCATCACTTTGGTCTGCACTCGGATACTACCAGGGCTCCTTTGCTCACGCTGTGGAGCTCATCCCCTGTGCGCCACTTCACCTGGTCAGTATTTTGGGGTCATTTCTTCAGAAGACCTCAGGGGCTTTGCAGGCTGTTAGCTCACTGTTTTGAGTGAGGTTTTGCCCAGCCCCACCAGGATTATTCCCGACCTCGAGCTCAAAGGCCTCTCCCTGGGGCAGGTACAGCCACCCACGGTACCATCTCCACCAGCATCTATCCAACATCCTCTGAAAAATACAGGGGGTCAAAAATTTACGATTTTAAGTATTTTGCTGGTTTTGGGCCATGGTACTTAGCGGGACCAAAGCAGCCTTTGTTCTCTGCTGGTGGGGAGACGAAGAGCTCTCCTGCCTTTCTGTCCAAGGGGCACAAAGGAGAGACCCCTGCGTGGCAGATGGACAGTGCAGTGGGGCAGGCAGTGTTATTCTTTCTCTCATCTATCTGAGGAACACTGGCCTTGTTATTACTGATAAAAATTCAATTAGGGAATAAGCTTTAGACAAAAGCTTTTGTCTGAAAGAAAAAAAAGGAGTTGTAACTTTTTTTGCTTCTTTGTAATATCGTTTCTCACCCTCCTGCTCTTTTTAGGAGGATAAATGCCCACTTTGTGCATTTACTCAAGGAGACTTCACTTAGCATGACCCCTCCTTCAAGAAGATGATAAAGCATCTGCTTAATTTTGCTCATGAGCTGCTCCGGGGCTGAAATGCCATTTCCCTTGTGCTTAAAGACTTGTATGTCATTAGCCCCGCTGAACTGGGCCGGGACGCTTCTGACCTTGCTGGGCTGAGCCCCACACACTTCGTGTTTGTGCTGGAAGCAGCGTGCACGTGTTGGCGTGGGTCTTGTGCACGTGTTGGCGTGGGTCTTGTGCCCGTGTTGGCGTGGGTCTTTGCAGCGTAGCTAGGGCAGTGCGTATAGGAAAGGCGGGAGGGGTGCAGGATACATGCAAAATGGGGTGTTTGCTGTCATGGACGCTTCCCGCCCCTGACAGAATAAGCTAAACCTGCCAGAGCAGGGTGGTCCTGCAGGTTGTATCACATGGTCTGTTACCACAGGTTGGGCATCGAACGAGCGGGCCGGGGTCGCGGGTCTGTGATGGGCTGGGCAGGTGGGAGAGCTGCGTGTCAGCGTGCAGAGGCTGGCGGGAAGCTGGGGACGACGGCAGCACCCTGCCCACCAGCGACCGAGGGCTGCGGCCTTGAAGGCCGCCTCCGAGACACTGACATATCTCCATCCCCACCGGCATGAAGGTGAAAATGAAAGAGTCTGGCGGCAGCAGGCTGGCTCTCGGCAGCCTTCAGGCAGTGGGTGAGAGGTGGTATTTCCACGCCGCAGCAAGGACTTCTCCAGTGCATTGCTTTTTAAGCCGTTTCTTGGCGTCCTTTTGAGGGGTAGTGCTCTTGGTTGCCACAGAGTAAACCCAGAAGCAGAAGAACAGCAGGTGGAATGGGAGGGAAAAAATGCAAGATGGCTTTCTCCTGTGTTTTGGGTCCATTTGAGCCTTTCATAGCACTGATGGCCACTGGTGCAGAGTGCAGTGGGGAATGATGGGCCACGGGGCTCCCTCTTGAGCAAGGAGGCCAGGAAACCAGGTAAAGGAATCACCTGGAAATGCTCTGAGCCTCAGTCGTCATTCACTCCTGGGGGCTTTCACAGCTCTGAAGCATGTTGGACAAAGTCTTCATCGCCACCAGCTTAGTCTCGTGGTTTTGTCCAAATGCGCTGCGGTCCCTGGCCTGGAGAAAACCATTGGATTTGGACTTTGCTGCCAAGCGTTTTGGCATTCCTTCTTTCTCAGTCAAATCTTTACTGTAAAAAATTTTGTTTTTCTTTTTTCTTTCTTTCCGGGTCAGTGATTGCTGTATTGGAATTAGGGCTGATTAGTCTCTTGGTTTGGTTTTTCTTAACGTGCTAAGAAAGCCCTTTTACTGATAGTAAATTGGGCCATAGAGAGCTGTTAAAGTGCTGCACATCCCTGGGTTTGACCCTCCAGCAAAGCAAGCTCTGCCATCCCAGCATCATCAGTGAGGTTTTAATTGCAGAGGCATTCTGGAGCCTTTGGTCCTGATGTGCACCCCAGCTGTGCAACCCAAATGAACAGATTGCCGCATCAAGAAACGTCTCTCCCTTTTTTTATTTTCTCCCCTGCCTTCTCCCTTTCCAGGCAGGACAGTGACCGGCTTTGCTCTGTGGGCAACCTTGAGTAAGCAGAGCTTCACCCGCGTTACCACTGCCGAGTTGGTCTCTGCTTGAAGGGTGTTGCTGATCTTTTACACCTTATTGCAGGTCTGAGACTCTTGTGTTTCTCCTTTTCTTTGCCAGCCCTTTGCTCTGCTCTCGGGATTCTCCATGCAAACCCTCGGGTGATAGACCCGGCACACAGCAACAACGGGAATAGTCCAGAGGCTGAGAGTTTCGTTATGGCGTTTGAGGCACTGGTCTTAGGCTGGATATCTTGGGTGGTTTGTGTGTTGAAAAGCTCAGCTCCAGCTGTTCCTGTGTAGAAAACAAGTACAGTGGGTCCTGTTGGGTCCTCTTCTTGCTGCTTTGCTAGAAACAGGTTCTCCAGACCTTCCTGAGGGTAATACCTAGATAGACACTGCTGCAAGTCCTGTGTTTGGGATGGGATGGAAGGCTAAGATGACTGCTCCATAAGCTGTCCTGGTTTGGTGAGCTTTAGCCCGTTTTCCCCCATTGTGCAAGTGTCATTTCAACACAAATAGTATGTTTTGCTCTCAGGTTAAACTCTTGCTGAGGTTCTCGGATGAGCTGTTCTTGTTCACAGCAGCTGACTTGCGTTGCTCTTAGGGTTATGTGCTTCACTGTTTCTGCCTCGGGGATTGTGTTTTTGCAGCGGATCTAGGAGATTGTATCCACAAAGGTGTATCTTTACATTAAATAGTTTTGTAAATCGGTTTATTGGACCCGCCTGGAATTCAGTATAAGGGATGACATTTCTGAGATTAACAGTGACAGAAAGGGAGCGGTTTCCTAGCCTGGCTTCACGCAAGCCCTCCAGAAATGGTTGGAGACGTTGTTCTAACTCCATTCCCTAATTTTCAGGTTTCCGCCCAGCACTGGACTTATATCTCCTGAGTTTAGAGAACCGAAATGTGTTATCAGCACCTACTTGGTGTAGGGTGTTCCTGTCTTCAGGCAGGCATTTACAAACTGTCCGGCTTTTCTCCTTACAGGGTCGTGACTATTGTTCAGAAGAGGAGGATGTCACATAGTGCCAATTCTGCCCCTCACCCCAGGAGTACTACTGTGTAAATAGATGACAACCCAGTCGAGACCTTTTGGAAGTCTTCTAGAGCGAACAGCACTACATACCAGAAGAAGATCATTTCCACATTATATGCTCCATTCAGTTACAGTGTTTCTTAATGAACAGATGAGAAATATTGCTAAGAACTCCTAAGGAACTGTTTTTGTTGCTGCTAGTTAAAACTTGTTGCAACTTCTCACTTTTTTCTGTGTCCAGATATGCAGCAAACCCTTACAGTTAATCCAAAAGACGTTGTTGATTTTATTGAGGCTTCTGGCCTGTTTTCTATCAGATGAGGTAGTGTTATACAAAGCTTCCATGAGTGAACATTCGGGCACCTAAGCAACACCCTTAAGCTGACGGTCAGTCCGCGTTCGGGCCGGAGTGCTTACTAGCGCTGGTGATTTCAGGCTTTGGAGATGGGATGTTTTTGCCATGGCGGGCCTTGTTTCTCTGCTGCGAAGAAGCTGAGAAACTCTTATCCATTAAAAGCATGTTGTCACTGAAATACTGGAAGTGATGCAGGAGCAGGAATTTGTATTTTAAGAGGAAAAGGAGTTTCATTTAATAGGCATCTTAATCAAGGACTAAGCTTGCAGTATTGGCTTTGCTGAGCACGAATGGGAGTGTGATCACAATCATTTTGAATCTCTTTTTTTCTAAGAAAATAAACATTTTACTGTTTTTATGTACTCTCGTCTTTCACCATTCCTCCGACGCAATGTTTTCAGAGTCTGGGGAGAAGGAAGGCAAACCTACCCTCCGCGCTGATGGGCCTGTGGATGTAATCTTTTAAAGCAGCTCTGTGCCAACTCGGGGTATCTGTTGCGTGTCTGTAGAGTTTTATTTTTCCATATTATATGGAGAGGATATTACTTTCTCAAAAGCAGATGTAATATTTTTAACAAATGCTGTCATGAGTAAAAAAAAATAATGCAAAAGGAAAAGAAAGAAAAACAGCACACCTTTTGTATTTATTATTTCAAAGGAAGCTGTTACCCATGCCAGTATTTCTTCCTGCCTTGGCACCATGTGAGGGCCAGGTTTGCAGTGCATCCCACAGAGGAGCTTTGTCAGGAGGTGGGTTTCTGCGTTGTATTGATTTTGTTGCTCTGATGTGTGTGGGGTAGACCAGGAGGTTGCATTAACTCTTTGCTAATGTGGCCAGCACTTGAGTGGGGCGCTGAGCCCAAAGCCCAGTAACGTTGGCTGTTTTTCACGGGACCTTCGAAAAATCAAACCCCTTTAAGGGTTTCAGGTTCCTCAGAAATCCCCTGTGACTTCTGAAAATCTCAAGGAATTTCTTGACCAAAGAGATTGCCTCCAGTGGTCACTCTGAGTGGGTTGGGCAGCCCACGCCAGAAGATTTTGTTCCCTGACAGTGTACCCTATCCAGAATATGTCCATAAAACCTCAATTTCCTCATGCTTCCTTCCCTGCCTGGGATTTTCCTTTGGCTTTTGGGAGGCAGATGGGGCAGTGGGAAGGGAGGAGTCACTCCTGCGCTCCTCCATGCAGGGCTGGGTGTCAGCACCGGCAGCAAGGCAGCTTTCCGAGCAGCGTTTGAGGCTGCAGTGTCAAGCTGTGTTCTTAAGGCGGGAGCTATTTCTGAGTGCTACAACCTGCTCGGTGCCCCGGTCTCCTCTCCACCTCGAGTCGAGGGGTTGCTCTGTTGCAGGATTGGGACAACGCAAGCGCTACCCCGCTTCAAGAGCTTTCCATACAGCAGCAGGGTCTTCTCTGGCGGGTTTCACTGTGTACATCTTCACCCTGTTACAGGTCCAAAATTGCCAGCAGATTCTGATTTGCCTAAACCCTTGCTACGTTTTGGAAGCTGTTTTGACCACGCGGCTCCTCCCGAGCATCCCAACCTCCTTGGAGATGAGGTTTCACCGCCTTCCTCCCGTCGCGTCATCTTTCTTATGGCTGTTGGCATCTCCCAGTGCTGGATCTGCTAGGAATTCCGCAAGGTGATCGTGCTGTCCTCTTGCATACGGTCTTTTTTCCGTAATCTGTGTCCACTCTCAAGCAGGTAGCCGTGCTAAGGGTAGTCAAGAGACTGCACGTTTCCGTTATTTAAACACTTTAATTCATAAAGACTCCTGGGGGTTGATCCCACAAATCCTTCTCGCAGAAGTGCTTCGGAAAGCTTTTGCAAGCGGCTGGAGAGGGATGGAGTTGCGTCCGCGCTTTCGAAACGTGGTTCGTTTCTTAGACGCCGGGCATCTCACGTGTGCATCTCCCCAGGCGAGCAAACCCTGTGTAACAGACACCTCGTGTTCCTCCAGTGCACCAGCCTCACGTCACGTGCGGTTTCCTTCAGCCACCTGGTGGTTTTGGGTTTTTTTCTGTTTTTCCTTGGGGGCGCTGATGGCACTAGAGGCTTTGATGGAAGCTTTGTGAGAGAGGAGAGGCAATTCCCGTTTTCCCTGGACACCCCAGTACTGGGCAGCAAGTGCTTTAGTCTCCTGTGTGAGGTACAACCTGCCCGATGCACCTGCTGCTGCCAGTGCTGGTGAATCCCCGCTGCTTGTGGAGGCATGAGGAGGGGCAGGAGGTTTGGGGAGGGTCAGTAGTTGTCTTCGGAGTTGACGTGCTCCAGGATTGCTTCTGGTGGGATTGGGGTGAGGGTCAACAGACCCTTCTGCAAGAAACAAGGGCAGAATTGAGTTCTGGGGCAGGGAGGATTTGCCTGTTCGTACCGAGTCAGCAAACCCTTGGACACGGGATGTCTGGTGACAGTCAGGGTGTGCCAGGCAGAACACAGGGGCTTCCTCATGGTTTTCAGTTGACTCAGCTTCTTGGGCAGGCAGGAGACTTGCTCCTGGGGATATGGAAAAGCAAAGCTCAGCGCCAGTCACTTGTTAAAAGGAGAAACAAAACGGAGCAGATAGATACCTTTTGTTACTGAATGTCTGAAGCGTATGAAATATGGTTTCTAAGCACTTCAGGCTTGGGGTTGATGCCCTTCTCCCCACACCTCAGCGGCTGAGCGCCGTCTGCTTCGCTTCTTGGCGCAGGATAACCATCTCCTCCGGCCTTGAGCAGCACCCTGCCGCAAAGACACGGCCAAGGCGAGTGCAGGGACCTGGCTGCAGCCGCGCAGCTTGTGGGAAAGGCACAGGACCAGCCAAGGCTTGCTGTGGGAAGTTGCACATGCCCCAGGCAGTCCCACGACGTCGCTCAGGTGAACGTTGCTTTTAACCTGCTTCATTACTTCTACCTTGGCGGAGTCCTAGCAAATTCTGTTAAAAGTCTGAATATAACAGCAGCTGAGGAGCTGTAACAATCTAATCAGATTAGAGTAGCCTAAAACGCGTCTCTCCTTGAAGGCGTACCTCCACGTCACCCAACTCTGCTCGAGTATATTCAGCGGGGTGGGAAGAGAAGGAAAAATGCTTATACCTGATGTGCTGAGCTTAATTTTAAATGGGGTTTTTTCAAGGTTTCTTTAAAAGAAATGTCAAGAAAACGTCTCTTTAGGAGGCTGATGCATTATTTAATAAGCTCCAAGTCATATTCTGGGATCTTGGAAAAAAAAATATGGTGAATGGGTTTTGTGATCAACCTCATGCCCTGGATGTGCTTTTTCCCTCCTCTGAAGCCCTTCGAGCTGCGACCAGTTATTCCTCCTCGGAGCCTGTCTCAAGCAGCAACCTCAGGCAAGAGCGAGGAGAGGAGCTGGGGCTGGGCAGAGCTGACCAGGAGGCTGGTGGCCAGCCCCAGAGCTGGCCTTGCCCGGCGGCTGGTGGGTGCAGAAGCCTCCCAAATACCCCACCCGAGAGACCCGGATCCGAAGGGACCCCTCCAACAGCTGGATGGATGCTCCGTCCCAGGCGGGCCCAGAGCCGACGGACCCATCAAAGTCACGCCGCATCGCTGTGTCGTCATTGTCCTTCGTCAGGGCTTGCTGGGGGCTGTCAAGGTGGAACGCCGGGGCGGTTTGGGCAGTCTGATGGCTGCTCGCAGGACGGATTCGACTGGAAAAGGAATTCCTGAGAAAAAAAAAACACCCAACTGTTTATTAGCTTTCTGACACCATTTTGTCTCCATCGCTCGTCACTAGAGACAGGGACACATTTTGTCTAGTTTCCTGAGGTTTTGGCAGTGTCTCCTTCTGCTCCTGCCTGTCTCCATACTGTAGCTATTGCATCAGGCAGTGCTTTGACCTAAAAAGATGATGCCTTTATTTTCTTAATTATTGCAAGTTTCTCTTCACCTGTGCCCCCTCCCAAACGCTTCCACCCTCCACACAGCATCCAGCGCTCCAAGGGGGAAGGTCTGGTCATGGTGGGCAGGAGGAGGCAGAGGCTTCATCTTCCTGCCCGAAAGGTGTGCGTTAGGACCGTTTTCTGATGCGCGTGGGTCAGGACTGCGCAGGGTCAAGGAGGAGCTGGCTCTTCTCTCTGCCACTCCGGTTTGATTCTGGTTTGACAGCATCTGTTGGCAGTTGGCTGTTTCTGGGAAGGGGAAACCCTGCTCCAATCCTTGATGACAAGACATTGCTCTGCCTCGACATCATCACCCTGTAACCAGGAGCCGTGTTTGACACCCCCAGGCGTGTCTTGAGTCACAGGAGTCGGCAACGAAATTAGATTAAAGAAACCCAACCCCATATTGGTGCTTTTTTCATCTCAAAGGGCTGTGGATCACCGTTCAGATGCTGACACTTGTACTTTTCTGCCTCGGGACCCCTGGCAGATGTTCTGGGCCAGGCCTCTGCCTGCGATACAGGGGACAGGGACTGGTTTCTCTCTGGTGCCGGGACTTACAGAAAACCCTGGAGGGAATTGAGCAAAGCCACAGCTGCCCCTCTGGGGAAGGTGGGCAGTGCCCCCTTGGCAGGAGCCGGGCTTGCATGGTTGTATGGACTCGCTGAGCTACGGCAGGATTTGCCATGATTTCCACATGAATTAAGCTTTGTAGGATCTGCTGGAGAGCGTAGATTGACAAACTCTGGGCCTCTCTGAAATGTTGTGGATATTCTTACTTCATCACAAAGAACTGGGCAGGGCATTAGAAGCTCTCTGGGCTTTTGCTGGTGTGGTTAGTGGGGTTTGGGACGTTGTCTTGGCAACGTTCAGCAAATGCCCTTTCCTCCGAGTATTCCTCCTCACCTCTGTTTGGACTTACTTACCTTTTAAAAATATGCCAGGACTGACCAATGCAGGGTCCACTTGGACACCCCACGAAGGACTCGTGTCTGGTGCTGCTGGGGGACATGTAGCTGTTACAGCGTCGAGGGTGAAGAGCAGCCTGGAAACCCTGTGGGCAGACAGAGGATGGACATGCAGATACGTACAACAGAGGAACCAGCCTGCAGACCTTGGCCAAAACACCCTTGAAAAGGATCATCCAAAGTAGCCGGTTAATTATCCAACTACTAATACTGCTGTTTCCTGGCTCGCACAAACCTTTCTCTGATACCCGGTCCTCAGCCCCAAAAGTTACCCTCCAAAACTTAACATTAATTTCTTCCTCTGCTTTCAGTCAGAGATGGGCTTTTTGCTGTGTCTCTCTGCTGGGACCCAGAAGATGCAGCTTTCCACCCTCCCCTGCGTGAGCCCTTCATGGCCATGGGTGAGCCACGCCGCACCTGGGTCAGCTTACTGCGCCTCTCCACCCCCCTGCGCACCCCAGGATCCTGGCTTTCCGAATCCTGGCTGCACAGGTGAAGTTTCCAGGCCGCGAA